CCTGGTCGCCCCACACAGCCTGCTGTTCAGTCATTTGGTCGACCCTCACTAACCCCCCTGCCGACCTGGTCGCCCCTCGCAGCCTGCTGTTCAGTCATTTGGTCCTTCACTATCCCCCCTGCTGGCCTGGTCGCCCCACGCAGCCTGCTTGTTCACTCGTTTGTCGTCCCTCACTAACCTCCCTGCTGGCCTGGTCGTAGGCAGCCATCTTGTGAGGGCGTGAGGGTTAATTTGCATATTACCGCTTTATTATTTAGGATGATAACTTTTATAACTTATTTGTGGTGGTGTCCTTTGGATTTCTGCACCCTTAGTTTTCTCTGTGTATTTAATAAGTAATCTGAGGAGATCACGTAAATATATCCTGTTTCTCTCTGAAGTTTCCAAGAATTTTACTATCCATTGATAATTTTTGCTTTCTAAATTATTAATGTAATGGCTCAAAATAGTGATTATCTAACTCTGTTATTTCTCTTATATTTATTAATTGGCATTCTATTTTAACAATGAGCTCTTATATCCCACACTTATATTTATCAGTCAAACGTATTTTTATTTTATGCATGAGAGAGCATGTATGTGGCTTTTTTGTATGTGTGGTATATAAACTACATATATGATTCATACATACTGTAATTGATACTCAAATTGTTTCAGATTTGGTCCATGGGGGCCTCTTCAAACTAGCTCCTGTTACCTGTTGATATGTCCCTTCCTTTTTTTTGAATTTTTTTATTTTTATATTTTGGCATGACCAGATGTTCCAGGCTTATCTTGTACCTTCCCTACCCCTTCCCTGGAAGTAGCCATTTCTTAAAGGCACTCTGATGCCTTTTAGTGGGAAATGGTCATTAGAAAACAACATCTTGCCACTGTTTATGCTCATTCCACTGGGGTGTTGTTATTTCCAGATCTTTTCAGCACCCAGAGCTAGAAAAAACCCCAAGCAATTTCAATATGAAATTTGCCATGTGTATATTCTATTTATAAATTTTAATTATACAATCATCATGTTTCTTTTTCAAAATTTGACACTACAAGGTTCTACTTTTCTTTTCCCAGTGCATTTCCCTTTTCCTGCAGTGAAAACCTAGTTTCCAACAACTTCAATATTTCTCATTTGCTTCATTTTATAATACATACAAAATACATTACAACATCAACACCTACCATTACAAAACTAAGAGTTCAAGATATCTTTGCAATTCTTTTTTTTATATTGAGCTTATATAGTCAAAATACTGTGTTTGAAAGTTTCCTTCAGAGTGGTTATATTAATCATTTAAAAATATAATTTGATCCATTGCTTCTGTTTGTATTCAGTATTTGCATTTCTTTTTCTTCATGCTTATTGACATGTTTGCTTTTTACATACATAAAACATTTAACATAGTTCCAAAGCAAGGCTATTCAAAGTATACTCAGATTTGTCACTCTTTCTCCTATTTCTTTCACTTTTGTCAATAATCAGTTTCATTTCATTTAGTTTCTGGTTTATTCTTTGTGTTGGTGTTTTTATACATCAACAGATACATAAATATATATGTATTTTAGAATCTTTTAAAGAGTTAAAATACTTTGAATTTTTATGAAATACTTACTAGTGTAGGTTTTTATGAAACATACCAGTGTTACTGTTAACTGGTTACCCTAACAATACTTATACCTTATTAAAGAATATAGGAGGAGGGGAAGAATATGGGGAAAGAAATACCAAAATTTTGAATAAGATTTTGTGAAACTGCATTAATATTATCTATAATAATAAAAGCATAATATGCTAATTAGATTGGACAGCCGAGTGACCTTCTGGATGTCATTCCAGACATCCTTCTGGACGAAGCCGCCGCGGTGGGGGCCGAGGTAGAGGCAGTTAGGGGCAATCAGGCAGGCAGGCAGAGGGGTTAGGGGCGATCAGGCAGGTAGGCAAGTGGTTAGGCACTATCAGGCAGGCAGGCAGAGTGCTTAGGGGCCAGCGGTCCAGGATTGCGAGAGGGATGTCCAACTGCTGGTTTAGGCCCGATCCCTTGGATCGCCATTCAGACATCCCCCGAGTTGTCCCAGATTGCAAGAGGGTGCAGGCTGGGCTGAGGGGGAACACTCCCCTCCCCCGTGCACGAATTTCATGCATCAGGCCTCTAGTTAATTCATAAAAGCTCAGAAATTTATTTCTCGGCTACATATTACAACCTGAAGAATGTATTGGTTCTTTTCTGCATTTTCACATGCTACCATCTATGTGAAATATTTCTAAAAATATTCTGGAGTTAATAAAATGTTGATGACATGTCTATATTTAAACACTGTTAGTTGTCTTAGTACCACAGCAAATATTTTATGTGACTTGAAGAGAATGATACTATAGGAACATAATTAAGGATATTAGAAAAATCATGTTAAGGTGGGGAGACAGAAGGGGGGAGGTCAGAGGCAACAATATATAAGAAAAAAACATAGAAAATTTATCTCACCAGAAACAGCACCTCTTCTCAGTCTCAGACAAGTTCTGCCTCCAGAAAAGCCAATTCAAGCGTTGGGAAGTGGCAGGATCGATATGGGAGGGCCGAATCACCTGATCTAAGGTAAGGCTCTTTATAAACATTGGATACTCTCTGATGTTTAGATCATCAGTGTTGTTTTGTCTTATTGGTAAGATGATAAATTTCTATTAGACTGTGCCATATTTTTACTCCATAAGTTATGGTATTTTAGTATAGTATTTGAGGGCTTAAGTTGCTTTATAAATAAGGCCTTACCACCTCATGTAATGCTTCTCATCTCTCCAGCCTTTTTAAAAAAAATTATCTTTATTGTTGAAAATATTATGTCTCCCTTTTTCCCTTCATTGATCCCCCTCCTCCCCACATCTGCCCCCTGCACCCCTCCGCCCAGCCCTTCATCATACTATTGTCTCTGTCCATGGGTTATGCATATATACATATAAATCCTTGGGTTAATCTCTCCCTACCCTCATCCCACATGGAACCGTGCTAATGGGTGCTCAGTAAATGTCTTTCTCCCCCTTGCTGCAAGTTTAATTCTTCTTTCTCATAATGCACCCTATTTAAAAATCCCTGGGTGCTTTTCACTGTTTGTTGGAGAAAATTTACCTTCTGAGTCAGTATTTAGGAGCTATAAAATTGGACTCCACTGATTCTTTCCAACCTTTATATCCCAACTGCAGTGCATAAATATGCTAATAGTAAGTGGATCTACCAGTTATCCTAGGAAAATGCTATTTCCCTTATTGTTGCTATGTTTTCACTCATGATCCACCTATCATAAAATTTTGGTTTGTGTTCTAAATCTTACACTTACAGAGTCTACAGCCTTGGATGGTATTGTAAACTCTCTGAGCCTGTAAAATGGGAATAATAATTTTTATTCTAAGGGATGTAGTGAGAAGTAAATATGAAAGTGCAATGCCAACAGTAATAAGTCTGAGCAATTATACCTAACTTGGCTTAGAAATACAGACTAAAATACTTTTCTAATTTGCTATTTTAACTCTTAAACAATGATGGTATATTGGGGGATGGGGAAAGTATTATGTTCTCATTATAGAATTTTAAGCTTTCTTCCTGGGCAGCTTGATGTTAGATGCTTTTAATTATTTTCATTTACAGACTTTAAAAAACGTAAATTATGATTAGATATCTTTGAATATAACATGTAAAAGAAAAGTAGGGAGAGGAAAGAAACATCAAAATTTTATTTTGGGGAGGAGGGGGACTTTATTATTCCTCATGAGTAATAGGAATTTCTAGTCAACTTGCTTTGATTGGATTTCTTGTGAGGAGAAAATAAGCTTAGACATTCTCAAAAGTGGGTATTTGTCTCAAGGTCAAAAATATTTTCAACCTTTTAAAGGCTATCTAAACTATAAGTATAGTAGTTTATGCAGATAGAAATACACAGGGTAGGGTAGAAGTAGGTTTACAGTTGTGAATGTGCAAAACTCACAACTTATTCTTATATTATTATTTATTAATTATTATATTGTTTTCATACAAGCAGCTATAAACCTACTTTTGTCCCACTCTGTATTATCTATATTCTTAGAATAGTGTCAATTGCATGTGTTGCTTTAACAGGTTATAGAATGAAAACTTGTATATCTTACTATTATTTTAAAAGTACCAGTTGACATTTGTTCAGATATATTATATACAGTATTGAATTATCTTGGTTTTTATGTTTTATATTATTTTTTTATTGATTGATTTTTAGAGGGAGAGAGAGAGAGAAAAAACAAAACAAAACATTGCTTCATTGTTCCACTTATTTATGCATTCATTGGATGTTTCTTGTATGTGCCCTGAACAGGGGTCTAACCCACAATCTTAGTGTATCAGGATGATTGTCTAACCAACTGAGTTAGCTGGACAGAACCTTCATCTTAGTTTTTAAAACTAAAATTCTGCTTGAAGAACCAATGGAAATTTCAAGAGTTATTTTAAAGAAAAGTTAGATCTGATGAGTGTGGAGTGCAGTCTATAGTCTATGAATCTTTCCACCTTTAGTATTTCTGTGGAACCCCAAAGTTTAATAGCAGTGCTTATAGTATAATTTCTATCTATATAATAAAGATGTAATATGCAAATGTTGGTTACGCCATGAAGTGTAAAGACCGACCATGTAACAACTGGATCACGGATTAGCAGGAGGGTGGGGCAGCAAGCTACAAGTGGGTGGCAGAGAGCTACAGGAGAGAGCAGGGCAGCAAGCTATGAGGGGGGCATGGGGGGGCGGAGGGAGCTACAGGAAGGCGGGGCAGCGGGCGGAGAGCTACTGGAGGAAGGCAGCGAGCTACTGGTGCACGGATTTGTGCGCAGGGCTACTAGTACTATCTAATAAAAGAGTAATATGTAAATTAACCATCACTCCATGACAAAGATGGCGGCACCCATAGTGGCAGGGGCAGGACGTCCTGCTGGCGGCGTTGCCCTGGCAACGTGAGTCCAGCGGTTGCACCCCGGCCACGCGGCAGGAGGGGAGGGGCTTCTGGCCAGAGGGGCCTCGGGCCAGAGCTAGGGACGTTCACCACGTGGAGGAGGGGAAGGGCTCCAGCTTCGCGGCGGGATGCGAGGGACCTCAGGCCGGAAGCGGAAGCCGAGAGTGCAGGGAGTACCAGGAATGGTGGGAATCATAGTTCTGGTGGCGGCCCCTGGACCAGAAGCGGAAGCTGAGAGTGCGGGGAGCACCAGGAATGCTGGGAATCGTGGTTCTGGTGTGGTGGACATGTTTCGCGATCTCCTAGACAAGCGGTTCTCAACCTGTGGGTCGTGACCCCTTTGGGGGTTGAACAACCCTTTCACAGGTGTCGCCTAAGACCATCGGAAAACACATATATAATTACATATTGTTTTTGTGATTAATCACTATGCTTTAATTATGTTCAATTTGTAACAATGAAAATACATTCTGCATATCAGATATTTACATTACGATTCATAACAGTAGCAAAATTAAAGTTACGAAGTAGCAATGAAAATAATTTTATGTTTGGGGGTCACCACCACATGAGGAACTGTATTAAAGGGTCGCGGCATTAGGAAGGTTGAGAACCACTGTCCTAGACACTCAAGCGAAGTGAGCCTGGAGCAAGTTACTGTTGCAGGCAGGTGATGGAGGGAAAGCAAAGGTGAGAGACTTAAGTCAGTGTCGAGGAAAAATTAAAAGGAAGATATCCTGTAACTTCTAGGAAATCTCTACCAATGGAGCAAAAAAAAAAAAAAAAGCTTTATTATTCTGTGAGCACCAAACCAGACTGGGCTGGGGTCTCACACAATTCACTCATATGATTGCAAAGACAGACAGAAACTTCACTCTTTCAAGTACCCAGGCAGATACAATGCATGACATTTACGTTTTCACGGAAGAGGACTTAACAACACCATTTGCTATACACCCTTTGGTTATTCTGTGGCACCAAACCAGACTGGGCTGGGGTCTCACACAATTCGCTCATATGATTGCAAAGACAGACAGAAACTTAACTCTTCCGTGTACCCAGGCAGATACAATGCACGACATACACGTTTCCACGGAAGAGTACTTAACAGCACCATTTGCTATACACTGTTTGGTAAGTCACCTTTTTGGTGGCCATCTGTGTTAGTTAATTGCCATAATCAAGAGTAAAAATTAAAACTTTTTTATCTCTATTACAAGCACTTCCTTACAACTTGGAGCAAGGCACCTATCTATAATAATAAAAGTGTAATGTGAGGTGCAGTGAGGCAGGCAGGCAGGCAGAGGCATTTAGGCACCATCAGGTAGGCAGGCAGAGGCAGTTAGGGGCGATCAGGCAGGCAGGCGAGCAGTTAAGAGCCAGCGGTCCCAGATAGCAAGAGGGATGTCCGACTGCCGGTTTAGGCATGATCCCTGGGATTGGGCCTAAACCAGCAGTCGGACATCCCCCAAGGGGTC